GATTTAGATTGATAAGGTAGTGTTTTGTGCTTTAACTTTCAAATGATATGGCATTGGCATTGCAGGTGGGTTAGAGTTCTTTCTTTGTAGGAAATGCAATTAAGTCTTAAGGTGCTTGGGTATTGCAGCTTGTTTTCACTTTACCTTGCTGCTGCCCCTTTGGTCCACAACATAATTTTTCTGTTTGAACAATTAGATATATCATTGTCCTTGTGTTTTTATTAATTTTTAACACTAAAAAGAATTATATTTTAAATTAAAGCTTGTCCTAAACCAAAATACCTACATAGCTCTGCCAAGGACTTCTGCACTATTGTTGTTATTGTTTTTAGTTCACTAAACAGGTTGAATAGAATATGGGATGCTTCCTTTGTGAGAAAAAGCTCTATAACCTCTATGTACTCATATAACCATACCCACTGTCTTTCCCCAAAGATTTCTGATGGCTTAGAGTTATTTTCCATTATGCCCCCTGACCATCTACCCTTCAGTTCTCTTTATCTTATAATGTGTTTAGAACAATGTCATTTAGGTGTCTTTAACTTTACTAGGGTAGTATCCTGTTTTTCCATCTCAGATTTATTTGAGGAGGTGGAAGGATTTGGTTTGGGGTTTTGGACAGAGGACCATTTGAGGTAAGAACCTCTTCTTCCTATTACACTTAGTTGCATTTAACGTGTGGATTATACTTTGGATTTTATGATTTATGTTTTCTAATGGGTTTGTGCCATGCATCATATTAGTCTTTACATTGGTTTTTCGTAACTGTTTTCCTTATTTATTTGTGGTAATTGATGATTTGATTTCTGTTATTATCACAAAGGTATGCTTAGACAGTTGATATTGAGAGGTATGAAAAATGAATTCAATTTTTTTAAGTTGGTTTATTGATGACCTGCAATCAGTTTTCTTATGTCGAACTCTTTTTGATGGCTTATTTAGTTAAGATTGTGAATTTCAGCTTTGCTCTCTCTCTCTCTCTCTCTCTCTCTCTCTCTCTCTCTCTCTCTCTCTCTCTCTCTCTCTCTTTATATATTAATTTTAATTTTCTTGGTTTTGGCATCTTCTTGAGCATTGACATTTCCTTATTTTGTTTCTTTTGTAAAGGAAAATGATGAGTTTGAGAAGATCAAGCAAACAATTGACAGTGTTTGGGAATTCCACGATATTAGATCACAATCCCTATTAAAGATCATGACTACAAAACTTGAGGATACAAAAGGCATAGTATACATGTATTTTGTTTTGTTGAAAATAGTATACAGGCTTGGTAATAGTCTTAGAGTGGAGAAATAATGATTGTAGAACTTGGGTTTACCAAGGGCAAGAATATATGGAGCTTGGCCTCCAGTCTTTCAGTGGAATTTGGATATGTTATGTGTACTTGAATCACTAGGATGCTTGTGTACTTTTGAATGAGAGAAATTTTTATTCATGTAAGTTTCTATTGATCTATTTATCTAAATGTATTGTTTTTCAAAATTACAATATGTTAATGCACAAAAGGTTAATATTATCATAAAATATAATATAAATAAAATAATAAAATATACATATTTTAGCGACCAACTAAGTAAGCCTTAGCGACCAAATCTGGTAGTCACCAAAAACTATTGGCGACGAACCAATCTATTTGGTCGTACAATCCTTCCTCAGTTCGCGGCAAATTTTGGTATTTTTGCGGGAACCTGTCTTTATAGGCGACCAACTGATCATTGTAAGGCGACGAAACCAATTGGTCGCATAAAGGTTTTGGCGACGAAATTTTTTTTTCGTCGCCTTTTGTCACTTTTACTTTCAGCCACGAGCCTTAGGCGACCAAGCTTGCGACGAAATTATTTCGTCGCTAAAGGGGTTTGGCGACAAATTTACAGCTTTTAGCGACCAAAAGTGGTGGTCGCCAAAAGTGTTTTTCCTTGTAGTGATGCCTCGGACATGGTTTGGACACAAGTCAATGGTCAAGACACGTTTTGGACATGGTCAACTGAAGTCAAGACACGATAGGGACCATTTTGAAAATTATAAAACTAAAACATAGGTCCAAACAAAATTATTGAAAACTATGTGGACATATTTGAAATATTTTTAAACAAGGGGCTAAAAATGTAAACAATATTTTTTAAAGATGATAGATCATATATGAAAAATGTGGCGAAATTTGGTTTATGATAAATCATGAATATGTGTGGATAAATATGTGTATAATTCTTTATTTTGTTTAGGGAAAGATGAGTAATGCTAAGTTAACTCGAATGAGTATGAATTTGTTTTATGGTATTATGACATTGAAGTATTGAGTATGAATTTTTTAAAAATATATATAAGTATATACTATTATAATTTTATTAGGATTTATTATTATTTTAATTATCGTGTCCTAGTTGTGTCTGTGTGCTAATTTTTTGAGATTTTTCTTGTTGTTGTGTCGCGTTTCCGTGTCCCCATGTCCGTGCAACATAGGAGGAAAGCAGAAATTGACGCTAACGAAAAATATTCAATTTTTTATTACCGTTGGCATGCGTGACACGTGTGGTCCCCGCATGTACGTCATGATCCAAAGGTAAAAAAAAATATTAATTTCATGTGCTGACGCTAGCCTAGCATCACAGCCCGCGGTCCGGAGCTTAGGCTCATCTTGCCTTGGGCCTTGCCCAGGTTGGTGGAGCCCATCTCTTGCCCTAGCATGAATTGGGCACTGGAAATGGATTTTGAGGCCTATGAAGCCTTTTGCTTAGGCTAGGCTGCTAAGTTGGAAATGCTCTTAGAGCATTTCCAAACCATTTGCTATGACAAAAGGTAAGGCCCCATTTGGTTCACGGAATGGATTTGATGGGAAATCATTTCCCATGTGATTTCCCAAGGAATGGGAAATGGTGATTCCTTTCCCATGTTTGGTAATGCCGGGAAAGTAACCCGGAAATATCACTTTATTTCCTTTCGCATGTTTGTTTTGAGTAGGAATGGAAAACAAATTTTGTTTAGTGTCCCAATTGTACCCCTATTAAAAATATGGAAAATCTATTAATTTTATTAAACTTTCCAATTTAATTATTAAACATTACACCAATGTCCTATTGATAGTCCAAATATGAAAAATGTCCTATTAAAAATAGAACGTTGCTACTCGGAGGGTTTTGAGAAATGTGAATTTAAAAAAAACAAAAAAGAATACCCAAAGGGCAATAGAACGTTGCTGCTGTTGGATAAGCTGTAATTAAAATTATTAGTAAGGACAAATTAGTCAGAAAAAAAATGCATTTAATGCTTGCCTTACTTTCCCATGGGAAGGGAAAGTAAAACCCAAGGAGGAAGGATGGAATCACTTTCCCTCCTACTTTTCCATGTCCCAGGAAACGATTTCCCATGCCTGACTTACAAAACATGAGAAAGCAATTGCTTTCCCATCCCCATGATTCCTTTCCCATGAACCAAATGGGGCCTAAAGGTAAGGGCAAGGCAAGGGCTATTAATATTCATGGGAATAGTGACAGCCGTTGCAAAAGGTTTGTTGTGTTTCTACCCATTACCATGGCAATCCAAGGACAACGACTATTCACATGAGATATGATGAGAGGACTTTGTATAGAGTTTTAGTTTAGGAAGTGAAGAATATGGCTAGGTATTTATTAAAAAAAATTCTGAAAATTTTGGTATTTTTTAAGAAATTATTATTTTTTTTTCCGTTGTTGCCTAGGCATTAGCTTTGGCTCGTTTTGCCTTTGGGCTTGCTCGGGCTGTGGAAGCCCGTTGAAAGCCGCAAACTGGGCTAAGGTCCCTTCTTGCCCGGACTTCCCCCTTGTGCTAGAAATGCTTTTAGAGAGAAGGTTGCTCCCTTTATTTAGTATCTTATTAGCCTTTTCGCATGCGCTTTTGCGCCTGCGAGACTTTTTTTTTTTAATTTTTAATTTATTTTATAATTCAAAAATATAGTAGGTAGTTGTGTACAATAAAAATAAGATATATTATTTGATTTTTCTTTTAATTTGTAATTTTTTTAATATGAAAAAAAATGTGAATTTACCATATTATCCTCATTTAATTAATAATTTCAATTCTTAATTTTTGGATTAACCAAAGGCAGTTTCTAGTATTTTGAATGTTTCACAATTCTCTGACTTTTTGTTTTTTATATATAGAAGTATCTCTCAAAAACAGATCCTAAGTGCTAGTTTGGCATTGCTTATTTGGGGTGATAAGTGATTTTTTAAAAATTTTGAGAAGCCCAACCCGTTTGGTAAACTGTGAGAAAATCACTTATTGTTAAAAATTGTTGTGAGAGAAAGCTATAAGGGAAAGCAGCTAATGAGGTGCTTTCATTTTCTGATTATGCAGGAATCAGTTTCGAAGAGGCGCTGGGTTTAATGATTATGCGGCAGTCATTTTTTGATTATGCGTAAAATCAATACCAACAACACTTTTAACAAAAAATTTACCAAACGCCAAACTGCTTTCTCTCACAGTTGATTTCTCTCACAGCAAATCTGACAGCGATTATTTTCACAGCACAGTAATGCCAAACTAGCCCTAAGTATATATGAAATATTTCACAAAATAGAAAAAAAGAAAAAGAAAAAAAAACATTCTAGATCCTTCCTTTTTATTTTCTCCTTTTTTGGGTCTGAATTCTAGATCCTTCCTCCCACCCGCATCCACACGTACATGATAAATTGGGTCTCAATGTCAATACTAACCCTTAGCTACCACGCTCTCTAACAATCAATCCCAGCCGTCCATTCCCTCACTTTAAAACTCAGATCTGACCAAAACTTGCTCCTCTCTCTCTCGCCGTTTCTCTTGCTCCTCTGCTCCCTTCACACGACCTCTTCAATTAATCGGATCTTACTATCCGTACAACCCAAGATCGGTTAGCTTTCTATCTTTCTTTCTCTGCATCAATTTCGAGATCGATTTATTTTGGGTTTTTTTGTTTTTTGAAATTTAATGATTTTTTTTGTTTGTATTTTTTGAATTTATTAACAGATTAAGTTGTTTAAGAGAGAATGTTTGGGAGAGCTCCAAAGAAAAGCGATAACACGAAGTACTATGAGATCCTTGGAGTGTCGAAGACCGCTTCGCAAGATGATCTAAAGAAGGCTTACAGAAAAGCCGCCATCAAAAACCATCCTGATAAGGGCGGTGATCCTGAAAAGGTTTTGACTTTGTTTTAGCTCTGTTATGTATTGGTTGGTTACTGATTTATCAGTTTGTTGGTGTATGAGTTTCTTGATGGAGTTGACGGGTATTTGCTTGGTCAAACTACGCCAGATCTATCATGTTTCTGAGCTTTGAGCTTGAAAAATTTTAGTCTAAAACTTTGTGCTTTGAATATAGTTGGTGTTAAATTTTGTTGTAAATTTATTGATTGTGTAATAAATAATTCTGACTGTGTCACTATTGATAATTTCAGTATATTGCAAATAATTCTGAGGTAACATGAATACCTTTATTTTTTCATGGTGAAACAATTGATGGATTGGGTTTTCTGAAGTTTTCCTCGCGGGTGCGTCATTAGACAGTTGGGCATATGTGCGTCTGTAAACAGTTGTTTATGTGGGTTTCTAGAGACTTAGGGCACCTGGTTGTATTCCGAAGCCGAGGAGGTGGCTGTGCTAGTATTTAATTGTCAGAAACATATAAATTTGATGGTAATTTCTTAATTTATCGATTTCTAACCTTTTCCATTTCTTTTCATAATTTAGTTTAAAGAGTTGGCCCAAGCATACGAGGTTCTGAGTGACCCAGAGAAACGAGAGATCTATGACCAATATGGCGAGGACGCGCTCAAAGAAGGGATGGGTGGCGGAGGTGGTGGACACGACCCATTTGATATTTTCCAATCCTTCTTTGGTGGAAGCCCTTTTGGTGGTGAGTGCTTTTCTCTGTTTTGATTTCAGCTGTTTGTAACTGTATGAATTGGAACTCAGTATTTTGATCCTATGTACCCAGGTGGTGGAAGCAGCAGAGGCCGAAGGCAGAGAAGGGGAGAGGATGTGATCCATCCCCTCAAGGTTTCTTTGGAAGATCTCTACAATGGGACATCCAAGAAGCTTTCTCTCTCTCGCAACATAATCTGCTCCAAGTGCAGGGGGTTAGTATTTAATATCTAAAATTGTATGTTGTCAGCAATTTATTTTAGTAGTTCATGGTTCTGATATGGAGATTTTATATGACATGATGCAGTAAAGGGTCAAAGTCAGGTGCTTCTTTGAAATGTCCTGGGTGCCAAGGTTCTGGAATGAAAGTCTCTATTAGACACCTCGGCCCGTCCATGATCCAGCAAATGCAGCATCCTTGCAATGAGTGCAAGGGTACTGGGGAGACCATTAATGACAAGGATCGCTGCACACAATGTAAGGGTGAGAAGGTTGTTCAGGAAAAGAAAGTCTTGGAAGTCATTGTGGAGAAGGGTATGCAAAATGGTCAGAGGATCACATTCCCTGGTGAAGCTGATGAAGCGGTAGGTCTCCTTCCTTTCATTTGATTGTGTTTGAAATTCTAAATTGTTATTTTAATCTTTTGAGGATTTGTTATTTGGTACTTCTATACTTCAGTTCTCTAGGGTATTGTCATTGATCCTTGCATGTTGTGGTTTTTTTAAAAAATTCTGCAGCCTGACACCATCACAGGGGATATCGTTTTTGTCCTACAACAAAAAGAGCACCCAAAGTTTAAGCGAAAGGGTGATGACCTGTTCTTTGAGCATACCTTATCCCTCGTGGAATCACTCTGTGGCTTCCACTTTGTATTGACACATTTAGATGGAAGACAGCTCCTCATCAAATCCCAACCTGGTGAAGTTGTTAAGCCAGGTAATCGCATTACTGTACTCATTCTGAATAGTTGCCTTGCCTTGTACTTGTGCATCTGGTTTATTGCTGATATGAATGATTGGCAAACTCATTCTCCTCAGATTTTATCTGTACTACCTTTCTTAGGGGTAGATTGAAATAAATGGATGGGCCATATTGACCTGGACCAATGAAGGTTGATTTGAATTGGCATTTTATGGGTTATGCGTAATACTATATCTGTTATGTGCATATGTACTTAGTATATTTCAGAAGGAAAATTATCTGTTTAAGCGAAAAAGGAGAGAAATGATACACTGGTTCTTGAAATTGGGTTCTAGAAGACCTGACAGATGACATACTGCTTGTGATTGTGGATTTATATAAAATAAATGTCTCTTACTTTCTCTCTCCCTCTTCTTCAATGTCAGCTGGACTTAGGCGACTAGATTTAGCCTGCTTTCTGGTAAAAGAAACAATTGAGCCTAAATATTAGACTCATTAGAAAACTTGTGGGGGTGGTATCATGCGCTACAGACCAAAATGACAGTAGTTATGTGTTTGTAATTGTCTCTTTCCTAATTGCTTATAGCCAAGCTTTCAGTTCTCTATTTCTTGAGCCTGGAATAATTATTTCAGTTCTCACAGGACTTTTATGTTACTTCTAGATCATCCTAGATTCTTGATGCTGCATGTCTTGTAACGAGGCGTATTAGTGAATAGTTTTCTTTGAGGTGTGTGTACTTAGTAATTTTCCATGCAGTTATACAATTCACAATTATGAAATTCATGTTGTGCATTGGTTATTTATTTTCTTTAGCTTGTAGTGCTATGTGGTTTGAGAATTCTAGGTTTTCATGATAATATTCGTCGCTTGAGAATTTGTGTCACCAATTTTATTCCTTTTGGTGTCTATCAGATCAATTCAAGGCTATAAATGATGAGGGTATGCCAATGTACCAGAGACCATTCATGAAAGGTAAATTGTATATTCATTTCACAGTGGAGTTCCCCGACTCACTAAACCCAGAACAGTGCAAGGGCCTGGAGGCTGTGCTACCTCCCAGGTCTTCTGCACAGCTTACGGACATGGAGCTGGATGAGTGCGAGGAGACTACACTGCATGATGTGAACATTGAGGAGGAAATGCGTCGAAAGCAAGCACAGGCGCAAGAGGCTTATGATGAGGATGACGATATGCATGGTGGTGCCCAGAGAGTTCAATGTGCGCAGCAATGATTAGATAGGCTTATGAGATTATTTGAGAAAATAAAAGTTCTCAACATTGTGGTCTGTTGTAGTTTATTAGTGTTTATTTCCGGTTTGGTTTGTGAATCCGTGACTTTCGGGGATTTGGAAGTTAAGCAATAGCTATATTAAGGACATGCTTATTCTACGTCATGTGGATGGTTACTTATATACATAATTATAATTGTTGTTTGTTCCTATTTGCTGGTAAGAATTTTTTATCTGCGTATGTTTCTTGGGTCCGAAAATTGCTTTTCTACACAAATGAGGATACGACTCCCACCTGCCTCTCCCAATGTCGCCACCAATCCCCCGCACCACCACCTCTCTGCAATCCGTCTCAAACTGGACATTCCAGTATTTTGCGCATTGACGAAGTCTTGCCAGTTGCCACCAAGTTGAGATCACTCCCAGCAGATTTTTTAACAATTTTTATTTGATTGTTCTCTTTTATTGTCAGAATTTATTATATAAAATATGGAATAGTCTTTTAGAATTTCGATTTTAGTTTTAAACGATTGACCAAATTTGAACTACAAGAATTAAATTTAAGATAAAAAAATAAAGCAATCAATCACCTCAGTAAATGAAATTAAAGATAAAGATAATTGAGTGGGCTTGATTTGAAAAAAGAGAACTGCACACGCATGGCCGGACTAAGACATGATATATGTATGGGTCGGTTTAAGAAATGACTTGAAAGTTTATGGTAAATGAAAAAATTCATTTAATAAATCGACAACCAAAGACTAATCACAAAAATAACCTAAATAAAACCAGTTATATCATGTTATTATACACTCCCTTGGTGAAAAACTTTCCATAAGTGGTGGATGCACATGTGGTGCCTTAATCAATTCCGTTCTTCTCTATAGTCATAACCAACAAGGTCTTTTCGGGCTTCAATCTTGTTAAAGGAAGTACTAAATGTAGGGCAAGATTTAAGGATAAATACTCTTAACAACTTGAGTTACAAACGCCGTACAGTTTTGTGCTTCTTCGGCTTGCTTAAAAACCGAATAATTGACACAAGGATTGGAAATTTTGTAACAAATGGAAAAAAAGAAATGGTAAAATTCACCCCAAACGCCTTTTGTTAGTGCAATGGATCACTCATGAATTATGATTCCACTCCCAATCGATTGAAGCACCAAAGAGCCCCCACCCCCAGAACCAACCGACCGTCCAATCCCCCCATACTTAAATAAAAAAGAAAAACCTCAAAATCTCTTTCTTTGACTACAAAACCCTATTCTCTCTCATCGCACTCCACTTATTTTTTCTTTGGTCATTTGCACTTTTACAAAAGCAAAAGTAAGAAGCATATACTCAAATCTATCCATCCATCCATCCATCCCTTTCCCTCTCTTCCCAATCCTCAACCCCTTTGTTTTCAGCCCACTTTCCAAAAAGATGTCATCCCTCTCTCCCCACCACCACCATCACCACCACCAACTTCAATAATTACTAAAACATTATCGTCGACTTAAGCCCTAAATATTCCCTTTCTTATCTTTTTCTGCACAATTTCAATCCCCCAATTCCATAAATCTAGGTTTTAATACTTTCATCCAAAACCAAAACCCAAAATGTTCTCCTCTCCTTTAATCCCAGCCTTGTCTCTACTCATATTTCTCCCTCTCCTCTTTCTCATCGCCCCAAGAATCCTCCTCCTCACAGACCTTCAAATCTCACTGTCTCCAGATGAGCTTGACGACGTCGCTTTGTTCCACAAAGCTATACTTGCTTCTTCCTCTCATCATCATCGTGCACCTTCTTCCTCTATCTCCCACTTGGGCACCACCACAAACCCTAAACCCAAAATCGCCTTCCTCTTCCTCACAAACTCAGACCTCTCTTTTGCCCCTTTATGGGAAAAGTTCTTCCATGGCCACCAACACCTCTTCAACATCTACATCCATGCCGATCCAACGGTCCAGATCACTCCTCCCGGCGGCGTATTCGAAGGCCGCTTCGTCCCGGCAAAGAAGACCGAGCGGGCCTCCCCCACGCTCATCTCTGCGGCGCGTAGACTCCTCGCCAACGCCATCCTCGACGATCCATTAAACCTATACTTTGCCCTGGTGTCCCAACACTGTATCCCACTGCACTCTTTTCCCTTCGTCTACAAAACCCTCTATGGCAGCGAACTCGCCGCTTTAAGAGATTTTGCCACCCAATCAAATCACCAAAGTTTCATCGAAATCCTCTCCGATGATCCCAACCTCCCTGAGCGCTACGTTGCTCGGGGAGACAATGTGATGCTCCCGGAAGTGCCTTTCGAGCAATTCAGAGTTGGATCTCAGTTTTATATCTTGACCAAGCGGCACTCGTTGCTCGTGATCCAAGACAAGAGACTTTGGAGGAAATTTAAGCTGCCTTGCTTGAACGTCTACTCTTGCTACCCTGAGGAGCATTACTTCCCAACACTTTTGTCCATGGAGGACCCCGAAGGTTGTAGCCACTACACACTTACAAGAGTGAATTGGACTGACAGTACGGACGGGCATCCCTACACGTATGAGGCTCCTGAAATTTCTGCACAGCTCGTGCATACCTTGAGGAAGTCCAATTCGAGCTATTCCTACTTGTTTGCGAGGAAATTCTCTCCCGATTGCTTGAGGCCCTTGATGAAATTAGCAAGTCGTGTCATATTTCGAGATTGAGGCAAAGCCAATCCAATTGTGTTTATAATTAACGCTAGGTGACTAACAGCTCAGGTAAATGTTCTAACCTTTCAGAAATTTGATTGGGAGAAGTGTTTATAGCAAACTTTTGTAATGGCAAGTAGGGGCTAAACCTTTTAGTCACTTGTGTTCATGATCAAATTATAAGATTTTTAGTGATTGCTAACGAAGTTTAACCCAATCCTCGGTATTTTTAGTTTAGACTATTACTTGTACTAAAATAAATTTAATTTTTAAGGATTAAACTCGTGGTGACTAATACCATTTTCATGAGTGACTGAGAAGAGGAAGTCACTAGTTGTTTGTGGTTTAGTGACCAGTATTTGGGGATGACCACGGAATTGAATTTGTCACCAGCTTCTAGGGACCACCAGTATTTGGACGTTAGTTGATTGTGTGGACCAAAATTGTTACTTTCCATGACGAATATGCTGATATTTAATAGATGTTTCTCGTAGTCTCCATTTGTTTGTTTCTTACAATTTGCCAGTTTATATAATTAGGGGTGAAATGCAACTCCATTTTGTTTATTCTTTTTCGTTTTCTTTTAGCGGGCTACAGTTAGATTCCATACAGTAATGGTCACCACCGCCATTAGAGCACTTCCACCCCTCCTTGTAAAAGGGGGCCTAGGTTCCAAAAACAATCCCTATAAAGAAAAAGCTGTTGTGACAAGATGTGGGCCCATAAAATTGGACAGTCTCGAAGGCAAGACTTGCTCAGGCCGCTATTTGGGCAAACTGACATCATATTGACATTAGCGGCCAATTTAAATACCAAAAAAATTAATAATAAAAAAAACCAAAAATTCAGAATTTGTTTTTATTATTATTTATAAATACCTAGTTATGTTCTTTACTTCCCACACCAAAATACATATAAATTTCTCTCCTTATATCTCATATAAATAATGGTTGTCCTTGGATTGCCATGGCAATAGGTAAAAATGCATCAAAAAATTAATAGGGTAATTACTGTTCACATTAATAATGTTTGCCCTTATTTACCCTTTGCCATAACCTAATGGGGTGGAAGTGTTCGTATGGTATGAGATGCGTTTCACAGCCGTTTACAATTAGCAAACGTCAGTTTGTGTCGTTTTAACAATCAATTTGTTGCACACATTTATCATGGAAAAGTATTAATTATTGAATGTGCCCGACACATTGGGCAAAGCTATGGAAAATGATCGATTATGGTCAGTTGTTTAACGCCTTGTGTCTCTGGGCATGAAATTAAAGTTTGTCTTTGTTCTTTACATTTTCTTTTTAAAAAAGATGTGGTATTTAGTATTTCTGCTTGCGTTTTTGTTTGATTCCTTTGGAAGTTGACTTCTCAGTTGGAATTATGATGTTGCTCCATGGATTAGGGTAATAACTAGAGGTGGGCAAACAACCGGCTTAACCAAATGGTTTGAAATGTTGGACCGAGTTGAACCAAACTATAATTAATCTGGTTCGGTTCAGATTGATCTATGTTGGAATCGTCTCTAAACCGAATCAAACTGACTCTATATTCCAATTTAATTACTATTATGATACTTGCTTATTAGTTATGACCATTAACTATCGCGTTTCCTCTCACACATTGATATGAACCTTTAATATCTTAGATTGTTAGTTTTATCACTTGATTTAATGTTGAATGTTGTTGTGATGTTAGTGATTTGGCAATTAGAATGGTGGTTGCGATGTTGGTTGTGTGCCTCGTATTGTTAAAAGTTCTTAGGTTGACTGATTTTATTTTCATAAATAATACTAACCCATTGGCATATGCTTACACATGTGCCAATTGGTTTTTTATTTTATTTTTTATTTTAGAATTAAAAAAGATAATGGATAGTTGTGTTCTATAAAAATAGGATCTATTATCTTATTTTTCTTTTTCTTTTAATTTTTTTAAATATGAAAAAGTGTGAATTTACCATACAATCCTCATTTAATTAATAATTTCAATTCTTAATATTTGCATTAATTAAGGGCATTTTCTGTTATTTTGAATGTTTAACCATTCTCTGCCTTTTGCTTTATATATATAGATATATAAAATGTGAATTTATCATATTATCCTCATTTAATTAATAATTCCAATTCTTAATGTTTGAATTAACCAATGGCATTTTCTGGTATTTTGAATGTTTCATCATTCTCTCCTTTTGCTCTATATATATAGAAGAATAAGAAACATTTATGTGTTTGTTTCAAATTTCTAGTACAAAACTATTGTGCTTAATTTCACATGATTGTTAAATTTAGAAAGTGTATAAATGTAAATTTCTAGAAAACGAAACACTGTAAAAAAAAAATGATATGGCTTTATTTTATACTGTAATTGGGTTAAATCGCTAGAAAAGCGACAAAGGAAACATTTCAGAAAAAATTTGTGTAATTATGTTTCTAAATATATCTATTAGAAATAAATGGAGTTTCTATTTGGCTCCATAATAGTATTTAGCACAGCCATAATGCAATGTAAATTTTAATGACCCGAATATCCCTTTCAAAAGATTTAAGAAAGAGCATTGTGGAAGAAAAAAAAACAAAGAACCACCAGTGGCGGGTGAGATCACTGATATACAAGTAAAGACCCTTTGCACTTAGCTAGACTCCATTGACATCTAAAGGGAATTTTTAGTTCCACGGCCTGACTAACAAATATTATAATTGGAGTACAAAGTAACAAATATTATTTTCACTTTGTGGAAATCCTAGAAATAAATAAAGGGAGATTCACTAATATACCCAATATAGGAGCCCAAATTATAAAAAAACCCTATATGAAATGGAATTTATAAATACACCCAAAACCCATTTATAACATAACAAAAAGGCTTTTAACTTCTTTTAAATTACAAAATTGCCATTGATTTCTTAAAACAAACCCAACCCAAAATTTCATAAAAAAACCCAAAACACTCAATAGGTTATCAAAGTAATTTAATAATTAAAATTAAATTTAATAGTACCATTTGTCATTTTTTGGGTTTTTTTGGGTATGTTTATAAAAATGAAATGATGTAGGGTTTATTTATAGTTTTAGTGCTAAGAATGGGTATATTACTAAATATCTCATAAATAAATGGGATCAATGTCAATCGAACTAGGAAACCAAACAAGAAATCCTCAAAATGAGAGTATCAAGCATTCAAATCCAAATCAAAGTATGTCTTCATCGATCTGCTCTAGAAAACTAGGAAACCAAACAAGAAAGCTTTTTAAAGAGAGTTGACTTGGAAAAAATTAATGGTCCATGCTCGCGGGATTGTGGGAACAGTATATGCATTGTTGAGAAAAATTTAGAGTGCACAACTCGAATGTAGACTTGTTGGAGACAAAATAAGTAAACAATTTACTTGTATTAGACTCACAAAATATTACAACAAACAACTCTCAAAGGAAAGACCAACTCTTACAAACACTCTTTCTCACTTCACTCACACTTCTCGCAAAAACTACTTGACTCTATAGCTTATTGCTCACTCTCTACTTACTCACACTCACACTTCACTTCTTGATTACTTGATTCTACAATGCATGGCTCCATGCCTATTTATAGTTGTTCCTAGCCAACTTTGCTCTCCATTCCACCGACTGGTTTATCTTTCTAGACAAATCTTCATTCTTCAACTTGTCTGCCAACTTGTCTGCCCACTTGCTTAGCCGACTTCGGCCTTCTTCTTTCCATACTTGTACTCACCGACATATCGTTCTAGAGTTTGGGATTGCACCAACTTCTCTAGAATAAACTAGAGTATTCTAATATAATATTTAATAGCTAGGTTGGTGAAACTTTCTTCACTTTTCCAGATTTTACTATAATTATCTAGCTCAAGTGTTGACTACCTTCTCTCAGGCTTTATTTCCTGGGGCTGAGTTAAGTCATGGGCTGGTGTTGATTTTAACATGCGTCACCTTGAGAAGAGAAGAGGCCCGTGAATTAAATTAAAACGTTAGAATCTCTTAGCATATATCTCATACATACTTTATGATCAATTTAGTCCTCCGGCTAAAAGGCAAAAGAGGTAGGGAAAATTGTAATTTCATTACATCGGTTCCAAACTTGTGTACTCTTTGTCAAAGATTTTTCGATATTCGATTTGGATGCAAGAGCATAGTGGAAGAAAGATCATGACATGTTTTGCTTAAAGACACAAGAGCATGGCAACAACCATAATTTACAGTTGTCCCAAGGACTTATATATATATATATATATATATATATATATATATATATTAGGGTACCCTACAAATTGTTTTCCAACGATCTAAACCATCTTTTTTAAGTATACATTCATTGATTATCTCTGCAAAAAATTAGATAAATCGAAAACCGTTTCAACATCCAATTGTATCATACAAAATCAATGAACACGGTGCTTCAAGAAAAGTACTAAAATTTCAATAACACAATTGAGTGGTTAAACGATATCAGATTCAAGTGATTTTTTTTTTGTAGAGATAATCTTTAAATGATTATCTAAAACATAGACGGTTTGTATTAGTGAAATACAATGCAAAGTAGGGCCTACAACGGTGTCCCTCAAATAAGCTAATTTGAGAGATCTCTCAATGGAAGCTCTCTATATATATACAGTCCCCTTCTATTGAGGGATCCCTCCAAAATTATTTGAGGGACACCCTTTATGGTATTTTACAAAAAAAAATTTTAACGATCCAAAACACATATTTTTTAAATCTACATTTATAGATCATCCTTACAAAAAATTAGATAAATCGAATACCGTTTCGACATCATTACAAAAAAGGAGTGATGGGAGTGAGTCGAGGGGGGTCGAAGGTTTGGTTAGATCATGTGGTTCGTGGCCTATTGTGATCAAGTTGGTTGTGGCCATGCTGTGATTATTGATTGTGACACATGGTGGTTAATGGTGACAGAAAATAACAACAGAATGGATAAATGGTTGACACAGAGAGTTTTTAATTCTTTAATATCATTAACCAACCATAAAAATTGAACTG